ACTCTCTGCTTTCTTTCATCCAGCCACTCTTCTATCCAATTTTCTAACTGTTGGGATACCCACACCTATAGAGTTAATTTTTTTACTAAGCCTTTTATGTGGCACCTTGTCAAATACTTTCTGAAAATCCAGATACACAAAATCTACACCCTTACCTTCCTCTGCATCAGCAGTAACCTTTTCAAAGAATGTTAGAAGATTTATAAGGCAAGAATTTCTCTTAGTGAAACTATGTTGACTATCCAATAAAATTATTAACTTTGTTAAATGACTTTGCAAAGCATCTTTTAACAGACTTTCCAAAACTTTTCCCACAACTGGGATAAGACTAATGGGTCTGTGATTACTGGGACAATTTTCATTACCTCCCTTGAAAAGAGGAGTTACATTAGCTAACTTATAATCCTCTGGTATCTGCCCACTATTCAAGGACTGACAAATAATAGTAATAAGTGGCTCACATATCCAATCTTTAACATTCTTCAAAACCCTTGGGGAAGTATTATGTGGCTTAGGAACCTTATCGCTTTTTAAACTTCCCAATTTTTTTCTTAACCAGCTCAGAATTAATGCAGCCATCATGTTTGATCTCGTTTCTATTTATCAACTGTTTCAGATGTAAAATACTGCTTAAATTTTCCTCAGAAAAAAAACTGAAGAAAAAGCAAAATTTAATAACCCAGCCATCTCACAATCATCAGATACAAACCTTCCTTTATCATCCCTCAAAGGTCCTACCCCCACCCTAACATTTTGTTTACCCTTAATGTAATTAAAGAAATCCTTACTGTTAATTTTTACATTTTCAGCCAACCTTTTCTCATACATCCTTTTTAATGTCTTAATTTCCTGTTTCACCAATTTTCTTGATCTTCTAAATCTCCTTCTGTCATACCAGTCAACTTAAATTTCTAAAATTTATGATGCTTTTCTTTAATTTTACCTGTTAAACTCTTTGTGAGCCAACCTGGTTCTTTACTTGCAGCTACTTTTTTCTTTCTATCAGGAATATGTTTACCTTGAATATTTAAAAATGTATCTTTAAAACTTTTCCACATATGATCAGTGTCTCCACGTAACTCAGCTGCCCAATTCACAACAGATATTTCTTGTTGCATCACTTCAAAATTTGCTTTTTTTTAAAATTTGTAACCAAAATATCATTATTCCTTATCTCCATATGCAGCAAAACATTGAACCTAATAGAGCAATGATCACTTACACCCAGATATTCCACAATTTCCACCTTTTCGATCATTTCTGTATTTGAAGTTAACAATAAGTCTAAGCTAGCATTGTTTCTAGTTGGTTTTTTGACTAACTTGTGAAGAACAGTTTCCAAAAACCTTTCTCCCTCATAGTTTCACTCTAGCATTTCCCAATCTATATGCCTGAAATTAAAATCACCCATAATTATGACCTCATTAACAGCTGAAATCTTAATCTCATTGTAAAGTTTCTCACTAATTTCATCAGTGTCATTTGGTGGTCTGTAACAAATTCCCACTAAATACCTTTTTCCTTTATATCCACAAATAGAAACCCAAATGGATTCAATCTCTTTGCTATTATTTTTGATATCTTCAACTTCAACAGGATGTAACTCACACTTAACATATGAAGCCACTCCTCCCACCTTTTTAATACTCTATCCCTGTTAAAGAGCCTGTAACCCTCTATTTCAATGAAATTTGTCATCAAAATCATCTACGTTTAACCATGTTTCAGTTATTCCCATTATATCAAAATCCTCCAGTTGTACCAGTGGTCTAAAGTCATTTATTTTATTTATTATACTTCTAGCATTATAATAGTAACAATTAAGCCTATCCTTATAACTACTTCTATACTCATTTTGTATGCTAAACTTTTCTCTGTCTCTTATTCTTTTTGCATTTAGGCACAAGTTTGCCACTACATAAATCTGTTTCCATTTTAAATATTACCATTATTAAAATAAAAGATATGCTTGCTGTGCAATTACCTGATAATTATTATTATAGTTTTATTAAACCTTTCTATATCATTGGGAGTGTATTTCCATTTCAGTATTTGCACTCAATGAAACATAAAATTAACTCATGACCATCACCATAAACAGAATCACACTCTTATATTTCTTACACCTAATTTACTGACATTTATTACGGCTGTAAAAAAAATTGCAACTGTAAAAATTGATTTGGTTTACAAATTATGATAAACTGAGATAGTTTTGATGCTGTAATTTTCTTTATCTTTAGGATATAGTAGAAGCCTACTGTATGGGGGCTCTTGTAAACATCATGTGACCCACCTCCTGCCAATAACCATGATGAGCATTCTACAAAAATATTATGTTTGTGCATTTTGCCTGATGATAGTTATGGGTAAGCAAGTTATTTAAATTGATGTTGATACAGTCAAGTGAAAAAAAACAACACTGAACTGGCCAGCAGAATTGTTTAACTTATTATGGTGTATTGTGAATATTGTTTATTTCTTAACTTTCTTCTCAGCTGATTGTAAATCATTAATTTTTCTTTTATCTGTCTTTGTGAATGCTTCAACTAGTTTAATCATTTTTTTTGTTTCCATGCAAGAATGAGTAACTCAGGTTTTCAACTGATAATTTTATATTCTAATATTAAGTATTATTGAGTTTAGTTAGTAAAGGAATACATTTAAGATTAAGTAAATTGTATATTTTTATTTAATTTAATTTGAGATAACAGTATAGATAAATGATTTTGTTAATTCATAATGAAAAAAAAATTAAACAGATACTCTCAGTTCTTCAGGATTTTTAAATTTTTTTACCTTAATATGCAATTGAGGAAAATTTCATTTTCATTAATTTTTAGATAAACTGAGCCTGTTATAAACTATTCAAACAGAGCAAGAATAAAATTATTGGTAACAAATGACCTCACCCCTCAAACACAAGTATCAGGTATGAAAAGAAAATCACCAATATATATTAGCTAAAGATCTGCCTTCCAAGTATTACAGAAGTTTTTAAATTTAGTCTTCAGTTTGCTTCGTACTGTTGATTACAGTTGACTGTACTTACTATTCTCTACTAGAAAGTATTAAAAATCAAAATCTCTTTATGAACAAACATAAAATATAGAAACATCAAGTTAACAAAAAATAATTAAATTTGATAAGAAGAAGAGAATGTTAACTTAGAAAAAACTGAAAATTAAAATACCAATAAATAGAAGTGTAATGTTTAAAGCTCACTCATTAAGAAATGTACGCTTGAACATTTTCTTATCAAATTTATGAAAAGTGAAGAAATTCTTGAAGTAATTACAATTACATTTTTATAAGATATTTGATGTTGAGTTTTAAACTTGCAAATGAGTCCAGAGTGACTCTTCATGTCAAAAACATTTACTTGAAGCAAAATTATAGGGTAGTGGAGAGAAACATCTTTTTCTTGTATATATTATTGCAAATAATTTGTGAGCAACATATAATAGACAACAGGAGTCATATGCAGTTTTGCAGTTGTTATTATTTGTAATGTGCAGTTATAATAGGTACTTTTTACATCTTGAACTAATGCTCTCTGAAAAGCTGAAAAAAAATTCTTGCACATCCATAGGATGCAAGCATATTCACTTGTACTTCCTAACCCAAATTTGTGTGTATTTTACACACAACTGTATGCAAATGAGCACATTAATGTCAGTCATAATATAACAAAATATAAAGTTTAGTAAAAATTAACATCCAAAGTAAAAGCAGGATTTGCTTTTATTGTAGTTTTTTTGTGGTAAAATATTGCTAAGATGGACAGGACAGCTTAAAAATTGTAACAAAATTTCCTTTTTCTAGTTAACTTAAAAAATGTAAGAAATGGTGTTAAATGAATATCAGTGCTGTAAATCTAAATAATAAAGGAACATACTCTCTGTAAATAATTAGTACCTTGGCAATTGTCTTGTAATTCACTCCTGAGGATGATGATGTAATGTCGAAACATGTAGACTCGTCAACTTTTTTGAAGGCCATAGATAGGCCTAAATAACATTGTGCACCAGTTTAACATTGAATATTTTTATGATTTTAACTTTACACACAAGTGCCAAAATACTATAAATTACTTAGTGTCTTTAACTCTTTCCTTGCCAATGGTAAAAAAACTTTCCACTTCTGACCATGCATTAATAAAAAATATTATCTCATAAACAGAGCTTGGTGATAAGTGGAATTTAGGAATATAATAATCATTCAGAGCATTAATTAGTTGCATCCAACTAAAGGATTATTTTTTGCATGAGACTTGTATAGTTGGAATAATCAAAAATATTAATAATTTGAAACAATAGTTTAGATTAGTTGATTATTTTAGTGAGACTTGGCACTAATTGATTAAATTGAACAACTTTGATTTAATGATGAAAAATCATTCTGACAATATTTCAATTACTTCAGTTGTTTGAGTTATTGGAAGCTCTAATTTTGATTAGTTTTGTTAAGTAATTTAATGATAATTTTGATTAGTTATTTTTACTTGATACTAATCAAGTTAATTGTCCAGCTCTACATAAGTGTCATCATATCTGAAATTCAAATCATACAGGAGATAACCATGGGACCTTTTAAAGTATAATAATTTTTTTTTAAATTTATTATTTATAGTGTCTATGTAACATAGGCTATACTACACCACAGTGCATTATACCAATGACTGTTGAACTGAAAACTATTTTCCATGCATACTTATAAGGAAACAGTACTATATAGGTTTAACTTATCACCACAGGTATCCTTTACTGTGCATGACACAAGGTTTTAGTGTCTTACATTTAAAATTGTATAAAATTATTTTTTGTTTATGTTATACCAATTAGAATAGCATAAAATCTCAGCTAATAATCCATATTTTAATAGTATACAAGTTTTAAGTTCTTAATTCTGCAAGGCAATATTAAAAAAAATCCTGAATTTCCCCTAGTGTGACACATTTTCCCTAGGTATCTTCTCTATTTTATCCACCACACCCTCCAATAGCTACGAAATTAAACATAAATTACTCAATATAAAATCGTCATTGCTCAGACAAACCATAATTTTTATAGCTTTAAATTTTGTTTGGTTACAGAGCTGTCAAATACAAAATCAGACCCCTCCTGTCACACCCACCTGATACATCCTCTCTTTCAGGATTTGTTAATAGTTCTGTCTTACATTTAATTATATATTAACTATAACCAATAGAAAGCCAAGATTTTCATCTATCAAATGACGTATTGTATAATGTTGTGTTCTGAACAAATAATCATCAATTTCACTCACAGTAGCAGCTCCGTACCTATGGAAAAGGTAACGACTATCTTGGATGAATTTGTAATGGCTCTTGTCGCATAGTTAGAAAGCCAGAAACATTTTTAGAGTTGGGGGAGATTGTCTACTTTTGCATGTTATTAATCTATGTTCTTTGATGCTTTATTTAATTAAATAAAAAATTAGTGCATTACTACCATTAGTATAAAAAAGTATGGTTAAATGTCATTGACAATTGATAGCAAGAAACAAGAAGATTGGGTAAGTACTTTTATTTCATGTTTATTCTTTGTTAATTATTACAAAAGTAACTGAAATGTAAAAATATGGCTCTTTTTAGGTTAGTTAAGATTAGATTAGGTAAAAGAAATAATAATATAATAAAAATATTTCACGAGGTGTGCATATGAGCAGCTCAGCAGCTCATGGGTAATGTAATTCAATAGTGTAACTTGTGCTGCACATTCCCTGGTTGATTTACAACTTATAATGGTGCAGATAGTAGACACAGTTCAAAGAGCAATAAAATATAATTATAAATAGATGTATACTGTTACCAGCTTAAAGCTACTTACAATAAATTAATATAGTTTTATGTTATGTTCTAGAAAGAAAAAAAGGGTAATTTAGATTTATTTCAATTTTTATTTATTTTTTGGTGGTTACAAGGTCAGTCAAATTGACTGATCCTGTATAGAGATAGGGTAGAGAAAATAACAGATAAAATATAATGTGTTACTGAAAACAAATGTTTGAAATGTATTTATGAAGTTTTAGGGATTGAGAAGAGGAAAAATACTTTTATTCTTAGCATGAAAATCACTTTGCACACGGACTATTCAAAGCAAATGCTCAATGTATTCATGGACAAATCTTTTTTTAAGTTTATTAAAAATACTTCACTAAAAAATATGATTTTTTGTATGTGAAAGATTTGTAATTTTACCTGAAAAACTGTCAAAATTTGTGAAGATATACACACTATATAGAAAGCTAGAAGTATCAAATCTATAAAAACTTTAAATGAGTACAAAGAAGTCAAGTGGTTGGTCAAATTGATCGAGCCTGTGTTGAGAGAGTTAACTCTTTTCAGATGGGTCACAGGTGAAAGGCCATGTC